ATATTATATTATATTATGTTATATTTTATATTATATTTTATATTATAGTATATATTATATAGTATATATTATATAGTATATATTATATATTATATAGTATATTATATATATATATATATGTATAATCTTATCGTCCGCAAACTCAGGATTGAAGGAGATGGTCGACACATCGATGCGGCTCCGCAACTTCACAGATAAGGTGCGCACCAGCCCCCTACTTTGGCCACTCCAGATTCTTCCTGACCCTGTGACTAAAAACCTTAGCTGAAACTGAAACCTGTAAAGTCGCAAAACCAACAGTTGGCTTTCGGGTTCAATTGAGGGTTCCCAAAGTAAAAACCCTAAACCTGAAAAGCCCTAGATCTGCGAATCCCATGAACCCCAGTCAGGTTCTCTCAATGCCGATTCCGGCTCTGCAAGGGGCTTCAGCAGAATCCCGAGCCGAGTTTAGGGTTTCGGGCTTAGTTTAGTGTTTAGGGATGTTTAGGGTTTATCAGGTTTAGGGTTTGGGGGATTTCTTAATTTCATATGGGATGATGGAAAGACATCTGCCTCAGAAGCCTCTCCACCGAGTTTTCACACCCTGTACTCTTTGTTCCCCTTTCAGGAGTCGGTACCACTATATGGGCAGCTCTCTAAATTAGGGTTCCTTTTTTACGGCACCCTTACACAGAGAGCACTGAAAGGGACCATAATTTAGAGAACTACCCATAGTTCAACCCCTTTAATCTATTTCAACCTTTTCGACCTGGGTCCCTTTTCTTTTTTCTGGGGTACTGGGACTCACAGAAACCAGAAGCACTACTTGTGAAACGCCAAACGTCGTGAAACCCTTAAACCCCAGCGCCACAGCCCTAAACCTCGAACCTCAGACCCTAAGCCATTCATGCGCCCCTGGCAGATGGAGCACAGAGTCCAAGAATGGAAGGCAGAGGAGGAGGCTGAGCTCAAGTTGCTGGAGTTCGAGGCGCCTCCGATCAATGCCGTCAGGAGTTAGTTCAAGGTGCAAAACTTATAAACCCTAAACCTTAATCCTCATTTGGCCTATCTAGGTGGCCAAAGGTCACTATAGGGTATTCGGCGCAGGGTCTAAGGTTTCGGTGTTTATAGGGGCTAATAGGTGCTGATTCCTGACACAGTCTTTCAAGCGCTCGAAGCCGTCTTCTCCTAGCTAACAAAAACAGCAGAGATGGCAGAGACACAGAAAACCTTGCCCTGCAATCCCTACCCCCTAAACCCTCAACCCGTAAAACCCCATATCATGGAATTTCGGTAAGTCCTGACCCCTTGTGGCATCTCCCCATTCCTTGGCGAGGCACGCTGTGCCAAGAAGGACCTCGCCTACGAGGACTCCTGTCCGCAGCTGGACGTTCCTTCAACTCGGGGGGTCGGGTTTAGGGTTTTGGGTTTAGGACGGTTTAGGGTTTAGGGTTGAGGGTTTAGCTTTCATATGGGCTTTCTTCCCCCAAATCGGGATACTCTTAGAAATACTCCCCAAAATAATTGTAGAATCCTTTTTCTAGGGAACCCCCAAAATAGGGGTACCCCCAAAATTTTGGGGGGAAACCTCCAATGTAAGCACCTGACAGTGACTCTCTCTTATTCTTTTCTAAGGGCAGACAACAGAAGCTCTACATTCTACGATGTAGGTACTTTGGCCCTACATCCGAAGGCCAGAAAACCTGGGAGTCTCGAAGCCTCATCAAAGCCTGAACCCAGAAACCCCAAACTCTAGATCCTAAGCCTTAACCTGAAGGACGACAAGAACCTTAAAAGTAGGGGCCCTATACCCTTATGCTATGAATCTCTATATGGTATATGAACCTTAAGCCCTTTTAGGGTTCTTTTCGTCCAGAAGGGAACTCAGATCCTAAGATCCTAGCCGTAACTACACCCCAGCATGACAGACCCCAAAAGTTGAGACCCATAGACCACACAGGAGGCGTCCCGTGACAAAGAGACCATGGCTGCTGTGGGCGAAAAGGTCTTCTCACTTGACTGCTATGGGTTAGGGTTTAAGGTTTAGGGTTTCAGGTTTGGGGTTTAGCTAGCTTCTACCTTCCAGCATGTTCTGTATGCGCTATGGGGGTTGTTAATTAGCGCACTGCATCGCAGACGCACTGCTGCTCGTCAGTCGCAAACGACAACCTGACCCCTGTCCCTTTCCACGTGGGTAGTTCTCTAAATTAGGGTCCCTTTTTAGGTCCCCAGTATAGCACGGCTCCCTCATAACAAGGACCCCCCAAAAGGGACCCCAATTTAGAGAACTACCCATGTGTGGCATGAGATGGATGCATGGAGGCTCTTTTGCCTAAGTTGCCTGACAAGTTTTCGAGGCTGCATGCCCTAGTCTATCTGGTGATCCTCTACAGATCCTTTTAAAGGAATCCAGGTCTGATGATTACCTTAAGAACCCAAAACCCACTTTCTGGTAGGTTCTTATTATAAACCCTAATATGGGATTTTTAGGGACCCTACAAAAAAAGTAGGTTTGGGGTTCTTAAGGTAAGGCCCCTACATGAGATCTGTAGCTCTGCTGACCGAACCGCTGCACCGCCTCGTCGATGACATCTGGCTGAGCTTTAGTTCTGTTCCTGAAGCGCTTAGGTTTTAAGGGGTTCAGGGTAGGGTTTAGGGTTTAGGGTTTAGGGTTTAGGCCCTAAACCCCTAAACCCTATACCCCTAAACCCTAAACCCTAATTTAAGGGGTTCAGGGTTAGAGTTTTAGGGTTGTAGGAGTTCAGGGTCGAGGCCTTTGGACTTTACGTGTTTACGGTCCCAGGGAGGCTACGCACGGTGCTACAAAAAAACGAGTACCATGTCATACTCCTAAACCCTAAAGCCTGTCTTGCAGGCAAGCTCGACTCGTCACATACCCGTTTCGCGAGTCTCAGGACAAGAATCAGAACTAGTAGAACCCGGAACCCGAGGACTTAAACCCAGGATCCTAAACCTCAAAACCCGAAGCCCTAAGCTTTACATGGTGGGCTTTCAGCGTTCAGAAGTCAGTTTCAGGGTCGATCGACACGCAGACTCTCGCTGCCATGACGCACCTTGCGAGGCTGGTTTTTGGTTGCAAATATGGTTTCGGGTTTAATCAGGCGTTCAAGTTACAGGGCTTGGGGCCTAGAATGATGCGTCCCAAACCTTGTTCTAGCTGCTTTTACGGCACCTGCGATAGTTTGTACCCCAGCTCTTCATGTGCAGGCGGGGTGCTTGATCGGAAAGTTTCCTGGTGAAAGCCTGGAACCCAAGAATGGGCTCCAAGGCCGTCCCGTCGAACCTGGTGAATCCTTGAATCTGCGAGTTGCATTCCCTAGCTGCAGCTACCAGGATGTGCGGTCCCTGGTTCTGCCAACCGCAATTATGCAACCCTAACCCTCCAGGTACCTACTATACAGGGCCCTAGCGCCCTAGGGGTTCTAGTACCCTATATAGTAGGTAGCTGGGGGGTTCGGGCAAGATGGCTCGAGTCCTTCCCTTGTGCTTTAGAATGCACGAGTCGATGTTGCAAGGGATCGGCTTGCAGGATAGAGACTCTTTAGTGCAACATACTTCTTGCCTCTTAAAATCGCCTGCTACTTAGGTCCTCAATGGGAGAACTTTAAACTTTTTGGCCTTCTATATTAGGTCTATTTTGAAAAGTTTGAGCTTTTTGGGCCTGGTTGTTGAAGAAGAGAGGCTACAACACACTGCTGACAGCAATTGGTGCCCAAAGCCTCAATGCCAGAACCACCCAAACACTAAGTTTCGCCTACGCTGGCCTTGGTTCCATAATATGATTAGTATGGTTACTAGTGTTCTTATCAGCATTGTGATTGTTAATATTTTTGCTACTCGTATTCTAATTAGCCTTAGTAAGGCTGCAGAAATCTTTGCCCTGGTCTACACCCTCGTTCCGGGTTTAGGGCTTAGGATCTACACTCTCTGCACTTCATTCATGCAGTTTGGAGTGTTATCTTACGTCGTTAATTCGCACATGGTTAGCAAACATATGAATATCGTTCATTAGTTATATACATACACACACACATATATATATATATATAATTTCTATGTGTATGTGTATGTATATGTGTGTGTGTCAACCTTCAGACAAATACATGTGGATGCCACAGGGGTTTATGATACTGTACTAAGCATACTAAGAGTGCCAAGACATAGTTTATACCACACCTAGCATTACCGAAGTCTCATCTTAGAGCCCCCTCGTTCTAATGGCTGCATGCTTCTACAGGTCAGCTAATGCCGTGCCTGCTGCGGAGCTGAGAAAGCTGTGCTACACCACTGCCCAGGCAGCGTCGATATTCGGGTAGTTCTTTTTGTTAGAGTCCCTTTTTGGCTCAATACACTAAAAGGGACCCTGGTTTGGAGAACTTCGCATTTGCCGGGAACTGAAGCCCCAACCCTACACCTGAAGCCATGAGCAACACATCCTAACTTATGATTGGGTGTCAGAGGAACGTCCCATCGCCAGAGAACCCTCTAAACCCTAGACCCCTGAACCCCTAAACCCTCATCCCTAAACCCTGCAACCCCTATCCCTACCGAAACTAAAGCCTTCGAGGCCCAAAGCAGCATACGAGGCTTTATAAATTAGGAGGCCAGGTTTGAGAGAATTGTCGGTTTAGGGTTTATGGTTTCGGGTTTAGGGTTTAGGGTTTAGGGTCAGGAACCCTAAGGAAGAGTGTTGGTAAGCATTTACTCTTCTACGAATGGTTCTTGCTAAGGGTGTACTATAAGATACTGTAAGTATAAGTATAGTAAGGAACCCTTTAAGCCCTAAACCCCTAAACCCTAAACCCTAAACCCTAAACCCTTACTAAGGGTTCCCTTCACCGGAAGTGGTTTTGGATCGCCCGGGGTCGGATCGAGGTTGGATCTGACTTGTACAACCGAGACGGTTTAGGGTTTAGGGTTTAGGGGTTTAGGGGTTTAGGGTTTAGGGGTTTGGGGTTTAGGGGTTTAGGGTTTAGGGTGTAGGATTTCGCGGTTTCAGGGTTTCATATGGGGGCCTTCATAATTAGAACTGGGTTTGGGGGTATGTTATGTTAGAATTATCATAAGGAACCCACAAAGCCCTAGTCCAAGTATTAAGGCCCCTACATTATAGGGCTTGACGGTGTTCGGGTTTTGGTCTGAAGTCTGGATCTCGCAACGAGAGGCTAGTATGGAAGCCTGAACCAATGCAAGTACTAGGACAATATTCCCTAGGGGAGGGGACCTATAATTGGGGATCGATGAGGGTTCTACAATAATTTGGGAGAAAATAATTGCAATATACTGCCCAAGGTTCCGTGTTCAAGTTGCCCAAAAATCCAACACACAGAGTTTAGGAAAGTTTGGGGTTTAGGGTTTAGGTGTCTAATTGTTTAACTGAGAAGGCTCCTTCTGTACCCCTGGAATCGAATGAATACCCCTTGACACTGCACAGAAGCAGATGAATAGACCGAGACGGAATTAATTCCAACACGGAAAAGTTTTGTACGTCTCCGATGCATCAAGTAGAATGGTCAGTTGTGGCACTCACATTTCTGGTGTGTGTGTGTGTGTGTTTGTGTTTGTGTGTGTGTGTGTTTGTGTTTGTGTGTGTGTGTTTGTGTGTGTGTGTGTGTCTTTGTGTGTGTGTGTTTGTGTGTGTGTGTGTGTGTTTGTTTGTGTTTCTGTGTGAAGCATGCAGTAGGAGTCCATTTTCCGCTTCTTCCCTCACTTATTTCATCTTGAACCCTGAGCCTTAAACGCCGCAGGTCATGCACATGATGTAGGGGGCCGGAATATCTGCAAAGAGGACTCCCTAAGGCTGCACTGACCCCCCCCCCCGAAGCCCTAAACCCTAAACCCTAAACCCTAAACCCTAAACCCCTAAACCCTAAACCCTCTTCGAATGCCAAGAAGGGAAAACGCCGCGAGGCCATCCACGACGGCGCAGGGCCCCTGAAGCCCGGCACAGCAGGCCTTCAACGGTTCAGGGTTTAGGATTTAGGGTTCAGGATTTAGGGTTCAGGGTTTAGGATTTAGGGTTTAGGATTTAGGGTTCAGGGTTTAGGATTTAGGGGGTCAGGGTTTAGGGTTTAGGGGTTCAGGGTTTAGAGATTTCTTGTTGGGCCGTGCCTCGGGTCTAGGGTTCGAAAATTTAGGTCTTAGGGGGACAGGCCGCAGGGTTTAGGATGCCCGACGCCCACACAGACCTGAACCCTAAACCACCCTGAACCCTGAAGCAACTCTGAATCATGAAGAAGCACTATGTAAAGGACTGCTGTGGCAAGACGAGCTGCACTCATTGGCGCCGCCACTTATGAAGGGACGACAGCGACGCTCATTGGCTAGATTACTTCGTATTTCTCGAGTGACGCAGTTTCAGATTGCGTCGAACACTCCTCGCGAGTGGCGCCGCCTAGCAGGCAAGCTACACGGCGCTTATCGGGCCTCTGGAACTGACAACTTGCAGTTCTTACTACCGATAGTAGCACCAAGAGCCTTCAATCAGCTGAGAGTCGAGATCGCTGCTTTGTCCTGTGACGCCTGAATAGTCGATGATCTACTGTTCTTTGACCACGTAATCCGCTTTCAATCATTTTATAAACGTCTTCGCTGTAAATCAGTTCTAATTCAATTCCTGTAGCCTTGTAGTCTACCCTGAGGCCCTATTCTAATTATCAAGGCCCACCATTCGGGAGCTCGGTTGGGGGCGTGGCAATGTAAGTGCAAAGCACGACACAGGGCTTAGGGTGTAGGCATTTAGGGTTCAGGGTGGGGCTTAGGATTTAGGGCTTAGGGCGTAGGGTTTTAGAGCGGGTTTAGGGTACTATTCGCAGGGACTGCGAGACGCCGAACCCTGAGAAAAAGCCAGGTCGACAACTCACGATGAAATCATCCAATATAGGGGCCTCAATAATTAC